ACCATACATCTTTGTAAGAAACTGACCATGATGGGAAAATATCTATTGAATATCAATGAGCAACATTGAAAAGAATGAAAGCAACCTTACCACTTGTGGTCGAAAATCGTGTTAAGTTGATAGTCCAAACAGAGATCTGACCGGCACTATCAGCACGATAGATTTGACATTGTTTCAACTTCGTGTGACAATAATACACCGGTGTTTGACCCAATTGCTAAATCCATAGAAGTGATTGACTTCTATCAATGACGAAGATTAAATACTTACTAATTCATTGCCAACATTTAATCGACATAACCATTTTGGTATTTGCATATCTGTCTTATTATGTTGTGAACGATATTTTGAACTTCCGAATGTTGCACTAAACGTTAAAGTTCGATCAGTAGAAGACATTCGTGAGAGATGGATTACTTTTCTGGAAGTCGAAAAATATGTGCATAGCCTCGAGCAGAGAAGAGTATGACTAATTCTGGTGTTGGAAAATGTCCATAGATCCAATGTTCATTTTTAACAACTTCCTTCTCGGACGTTGTATATGTACACAATTCCGTAAAATCAACTCCGTCAAATATCTAAAAGATTTCTCGAATTTCTGCTACTAGTAAATTCGAATAGGACTTACCTGCCAACCTCGCCCATGAACAACAAGTATCATACGTTGACATTCCTCACAAGGAACAATGATCGAACCAAATTGTGTTCGAATTTCTTTACTTTCATGTTCTTTCAGTTCAATAGGCACAAGATCATTATTATTTCCCACACTTGTTCCCTCAATTGTAGTCTAAAATTTGCCACTAGAGTCAATCAATCTCACAACTTTCGTTTCTTACGTTCGATGTTACTGTACGCGGATCGAATGCCCATAATTTCACACAACCACTATCCAACAATCCAATCGTGATGATAACATCTGAACAACATCAAATGAATCAAGGAAATATACGTGAAATGGTTATTCGGTATACCTGGACCAGTGGATTTTTGAAAAATAAAAAAGGTTGATATCCATTCGGCATCTACATGTGATGGTATTAATGTAAATTTAATTTCCAATGTACGTATATCATAAATGATGATTTCGGAATAGCATCCACAACAGACAAGAAAATGTTCATTTGTTAATTGATAATTAAAACACTAAACACATTTCGAAAAACTTAACAATAACAGAATCGAACTTGAGCAAGCTTACTTGAGCTGCACGATGTTTTAGATTTGTTCGAATATGTTCAATACAACGACCATCTTCATTATTCCACAACTTGATTTGCCTATTTCAAAAATTGATCGTCAAGGAAAACATTGTCAATCGTAATTTACCCATCGTTATCAGAAATACTAACAAATTGTTCAAGCTTGTGATTTCCTGTTGGTCCAACAATGAATGATATTTTACTTGTATGACCGATTAGCATCAATCTTGGAATAATCTGAATATGACAATTCAAGTTTTCTATAATAAATGTGCTTTGGTGAAGAATTTTACCTTCTGTTGATCGGGAATGATTTTCCAGCAAACCATAAATCCATCATTTGTTCCTGTAATAAGATCTTCACTGGCGAAATTGATAAATAATGACGTGACAGACAATGACGGTGGAGCTTCTGACCATAATGCAAAAGGTAAAATAATTCGCGAATTGTTAGCCATGAAATCTAATCGTAAAAGAAGACTTCTACTGTTAAGAAAATGAGAACTAACTCGTCAACAAATTTGTCGAAGTGATTCATGAAAAAATCTGATTGGTGAAGATGTTCATCAAATGACGAAAAGGAGGCATTTCATTCGACCTTAATTATCCATTCAGAGCTACCACTGATTTAATATAATGCTTCACGCGTAAGAATAAGTAAAAATGCGTTTTTCTATTTTGTTTTTCAAAATAAAATTTTTTTTTCGAACTTTTCGTTTTCAATCTACGATGATTTTCATCCTGCATTTGTTTTTACATGTAAACAAAACATAAACATCGTAGGATCTTCTTTGATAGCTGCTATAGTTATGTCATTTCTTCGGAGCATAATTCTTTCTATACTATTCGATCAAACAGTTCGCGACGCAATTTCAGTGTAGAAACTCTCGTTCTTCTGTATACATGTTTACTTCATAGAGGGGACATGCTTATCAATGTCCAAAGTTCAACAGGGGAAAAAAGAAATAGATTGAAAACCTTGTCGAGTCATTTCGTTAAATGGATAGTCTAGAATCTCTATTGATTTTCAGAATAAGTCAGTCAATTGTTTTCTAGAAATATCTTCGATTAAGATAGATGAGCATCTTCAATTCACTCGAACGAAAGTATGATTAGATGAATACTTGTTTTATTTTAGATATGTTGAATATTCTTCATTGTTACTTATTCCAAAGTCTATTTTCGTAATTGATTTGAAACCAGAAAACACTAAAGAACGAAACACAGACAAGCATAGCAAAACAACAGAACGTTCCTCATTTCTCAATGTTCATCAGTAATCGAACATTGTCGCCCTTGATATTATTACATTTCTCACGTTATTCTCATATTATTTGTTACTCGAACTCGTGTCATGTCTACAACCGTTTCCGATGACAATAGCACCAATGGAGAACCACAACAACAAACCCCTGTAAATTCTAGTCGTTCTTCGTACATCCATCTGTTCGCGGGAGGGTAAGAGTATTGCATGACATCTGGATGAATGGCCATTTTTCTTGTCAAATAGACTAGCTGGTACGTTTGGGGCGGTACTGACATGTCCATTAGAAGTAATCAAAACGCGTTACCAATCGTCGAGAAATTCTTTTTCAAAAGGGCCCAACCATCTGGACTTGAGTTCATCTATGAGCAATACTCTAGCACATAATCATCATCCGAACGCGTCCGTTGTAACTAAACGTCCAAGCATCATAAAAGCGTTCCGGTAAGATTGTCGGAGAAAGCAGAGGGTTATTTCTTTTTTTTTTTGTCTTGCAACTTGATTTAGATATATTCTGAGATATGAAGGTATTCCAGGACTATTCAAAGGTCTAGTACCAAATTTAGTTGGTGTTGCACCATCTCGGTATGAGCACTAAATAGATTTGCTTGAGGAAATCGATTGATATTTGTCTAGAGCAATTTACTTTTTTGCCTATGCAAACACAAAATCACTACTAGTCGAATCAATGGAACGAGAAACACCGCTAGTACACGTGTTATCAGCTGCAACTGCAGGTAATGACCGAGCAGAGTTTCAAACAATTGCTCTTCTGTAGCGTGAACCTATCGTTTCTCTCGTAGGTATTGCCATGTCGACATGTACAAATCCATTATGGTTTGTTAAAACTCGTCTTCAACTTGATCAAGGGTAGGAAAATCAATTACCGCTTGTTTACCAAACGTCGCCTACAACACTTTCCTCTTAGAAATCTTCGCGCTATGGATGTGATTCGAAACATCTATCGTGCTAATGGTATCCGAGGATTCTATAAAGGTATCACGGCATCATACGTCGGCGTATCGGAAACAATCGTTCATTTCGTCATATATGAACAAATAAAAGCTCAACTTCAACTGAGCCAAATGAATCAAAATCATTCGCCGGACGACCCTGGTTTCTTTAATTTTATATCCTATCTTGGTGCTGCTGCTTGTTCGAAATCCTGTGCTAGTACTCTATGTTATCCTCATGAAGTTATTCGAACACGGTTAAGAGAAGAAGGTACTAAGTATCGTACATTTCTTCAAACATTCAAAACTGTGCTCAAAGAAGAAAGTATATCAGGACTCTATCGAGGTTTATTAACACATCTCATACGACAAATTCCAGTAAGATTTTTCTAATATTTATGTATTCGATTGATTGGATTTCGTTTTTTTCTCTCTCTCTCTCTAGAATACAGCAATTATGATGAGCACATATGAAATAGTTATCGCTTTGTTCTCAGCACCACCTCCATCGTCTTCGACAATCGAAGTGACAACTGTGCAAACGAAGAAAGTTTTGTTAAATGAGGTCGATTCCGAAGCCAACGCTTCGAATCAATCAGAAATATAAATATGTCACTGTTTCTCTTCCTTCTTACTGTCTTTATCTACCTGCAGATTAGTTGTTTTCAGAAAACGTTTTTGTTTCTTCGGTGATTTTCTTGTTATACGATGTCATTTGTTTTTCTTCTTTCTTTTATATCGTTTATTTCCACCGGTGCATTAACATCACCGTTCCTCTCAAGTTCTTTGTATCTTGCCATTGTCAACTTAACAGTATATACATACATATTTTTCTTTCTCATCTTTGATTGTGACACTGGTGCTCGCTTTCCTTACTTCCTCATATATCTTCTGCTCGAGTTTTTGTCCGTCGATATATATATGTATATATATACATTGAAATGTCTGACTGTCAAAGATGGTTGTGTGATCGTGTTCGTTGCATTGTATTATGGCTCGGTCTTGTAGAATATAAAAATAAAAGACAAGCAGAAATCTTCTACCATCCTTGGAACTGTCAGTACATTCCGAAAGTAAATCGAACAGGTTACACTTAGCTTTCGATGAGTCAGACTTCTCTCATACGTGTCGATGTCAACACATGACTCGAAAGCGATTAATAGTGAAAATATTTGCTTTCATATGACTGTAGATACTGATAATCATCATCGAATATACTTTGAAGCAAAAACGTATCGTATGATATGGAAAAAAAACATATGAGAACAGTGCATTGGGAAGAAGAAGAAAAATATTTATCGATTAATTCAATTCAGTCATGATTTTAACAAATTCTTCATAACGAATTTTGCCATCACAATAAATATCCGCGTCTTCCATCATTTCTTCTGCTTCTTCACTTGTTAACTTTTCCCCTAGATGTGTCACAATATGAAACAATTCTTCTTTCGTTATATAACCTAGTTTGATCCAAAACAAAAACAAAATTATTATCTTATCAAGTAAAGAACAAATATATAACTGACTCATGAGATGTATATATGACGATTCCCTTTTTTTTTATGAGGATGCAATCATACTTTATGTACTAATCGTGAAAACAATCGTACCTTGACCTTCTTTATCAAAAACACGAAATGCTTCGATGAGATCGATTTCATCGTCTATCTCATTCGTTAGATTAATCAATATTTGTAAAAATTGTTGGAAATTGATTTCATTGATTTCGTTTTGTTCATAATCATCTCGAATTTCTTTGAGTTTCATATCGCTCGGATTTAAACCAGCTGATCGAATGATCAAACTTAAATCATTCACATCGATTCGACCGGTGTTTTCACGATCGAAATAAGTGAATATTTCTTCATATTCGTTCATTTGTCTATCAGTTAAATTGAAATCAGTTTCCGTCAACATCTTTGCCTGTGCGCCTTATCTTCAACTAATTAAGAATAATTCTGCTATGATGACACATCGTGATTGCTAACAATTCTTAATATTTGTAATATTACAACAGTCAACAGAATAATAAATTCTTCAAATCAACAAATGATAAGAGATTATTTGTTGATTTATAGTATCGGAAGAAATGTCTAACTTCAGCAAGATATAAATTGTCTTCCTGAAAACGAAAGTAAACATGTCGCTTTACTGTTGATTTCAAACTGTTTGATAACTTTGCAATATCCAAGTTATACATTTCTGTTCCTCAAGGCCTCGATTTATCTATCTTTCGATAATCAAATGATTATCAATGAACAGTTGACAAGGGTTGTCTGTCTATGGATCAGCTTCTATATACTGTACATACACATAGAAATATACGTGTACCTCGTGCACGCTCTTATGACGTCGATTTTCGTATCTTATCGTAATAGTCGCTATTCTTTCTCTCCCCTATTCTCTCTTTTCGCTTTCTCTCATTTCACTTTTTCGTTTACTTCACGTCACTGCCTCTCACATCCCTATCATTCTCTCTCTCTCTCTCACGCTATTGTATATATGTTTTTTTTATAACGTTTCAGCTTGTCCGTGCGTATATTGACTTCAGTCGATGTGTGTTTGTGGCATGTATATACTTGATCATTTCGTTTTCGCTCTATGTTTATTCTTTCGAAATATGCATTCATACACGCGTATGTCAAACAGATAAGCAGCTAATAGAAGCATGTCGACATGGTCAACGACTAGAAATACGTCCTCTACTGAATTGCTTGGGTTTTGTCAACAAGATATAGACAGCGTCAACAGCAAAACTTCAAGTAAGACAAAACTTGAAAGATGACAGCTGGATAGGCTACATGCTGATAAAGCAAATCGTAAAGAGAAGATTTCTAATGACCATGTACGAGATAGGTCGTGGTATTTACGCATGCTGAGAATTCGACACATATGCACATTTGTTTGACGATCTTGACACGTATTCTATTGTCGTCAGACAATTTTTTGCACAGAAGAGTAAGATCACAACAACAACAACAACAATATTTTCCGATTAAAAGAATCAGCAGGCAAAGTATTTGAACGATTGTGTGTATATGCATAGGAGGGTGACAGCTGCATAAACTACTTTGATTGGGACTCTTATGATGATGATGATGATGATCATTATTATCATATCGAAAGAGTGAGAAGGACAGAAAAGAAACTTCTCTACCTGATGAATCCCTATCGACCTCAGACTGCTGTCAAAAAGATAAATACTAATAACAGACATTATTGATAAGAAGACAATAAAGTTTGGACCAAACGATATTATGATTATTAGGTCCGAAAGGGCGAACTCTTTTCTCCTTTGTGTCTATCTGTCAGTCAATAGATGTTGTCATATTTATGTCAAATCTTGTCTTCAAGATTTCAACTTATGTACTCATCAATCATTGATTTTTCTCTAATGTAGAATCTCTTTATAGACCATTGTTTTGTCGATATGACACATTTTCTTGTTTCCTTTCCACTCTCTCTCTCTCTCTTCTTCTTTCCGTGTGTGTGTTATTATTTCAAGAGATGACGTGATCAAGTGATACATGTTTTTCCGATTTACTTCGTCCTGTTCGATGCATCAATAGTAGAAGATTAGAACTGCGCACAGTAGTACCGATGCAGTTACTCGATGTGTACATATGAGAAGCAAGCAAAAATAATTGAGACTTAGAAAAAAAACGACCACACAGAAATGGATATTCATCAGTGAATTACTGATTTCTATTCTTCTTTCTTTGTTTGATGTCGATGTAATCATCAAACTAGCATATTACCGTTGTAGCGAAGCAAAGATCATACTCATGAGGATACACATTGATGAGCGTAGCAAATCAATATGTATATATGTGTACAGATGAGAGAAAAAGAAGAAGAGAACGAAGAGTAAGTCATATATATAATATCAATATATAGAAAATAAATTGAGTTAAGTGTATCCAGGTGAGCGAAACTGTCATTGATTTCTTCGTCTATAAATCATATTGAAGAAGTAAATATATCGCATAGTTATTTATCAGATATTTATGAAAAAAACCTCTGTCTAGATCAAGATTTATCATCTTTCGTGCGCAAAGAATATGTCCGGTATGACGTGTACAGATTTGATTATTTTTATTTCTATTCGATCCAATATTGTTCTTAGTAGCAATCTCAATGTGTAATGAACATATAGAAGAAAATAATCAAATCAAAATGTTTCTTTTTTATCGTATAAATATTTATAGATATCGTTTCATATATCGTTCATTTCGTTTGTATACAACTAATAAACTGAAAGCGTTGATCATCTGTTTGTTGATCAGATTCGCACTCCAACACCTGATGATTTCGCTTTATTCATTATGCTAAATTAATCAGGGTCAACAAAAAACTATAGACGAAAAGCCCACCGATGGTCACATCTTGAGAAGTAGTTTTCTTCTGTTTAAAAATGAAATACTTGCGCGACGAGCGGCATTACTTGGAAAAAAACATGTTGCCAGTATGGTAATGAATTATTCTTTCAATTTATTTCCTTAGATAAGATTGAAGTCATAAGAAATGACGTCAATGGAAGTTATTTTGTAAGTGGAAATGATGAACAAAGTTATCCATCTGTATAAGTTAATCAGAGAGAAATCAACATTCTTTTTACCTTTTTAGATTTTTACCTTTCAAACAACTGTCATGTGCTCTGTTCTTCATATATCGTTTTGACGTTCGTAATTTTTTTGTTATTTCGTATGTTATCAAAGTACACTCACAGTGCAAACAGCAGATATATCGTACGAGCGCGCCTGCAAAGGAGAAGAGAAAAGACACTTGATTGACAAGAGAGAAAAAAAGAAAAAAAAACGTCAAAGAAATCAAGTCATTCTTTCGCCATGCGTTTATCCGTCACTGTATTCATTGACAGCTGGCTAGTCATAGTCAACGAGATTGAGCAACTGCGTTCTTTTTTTGTAGGAATATTGCGTTGAGTGAGGAAACAGCTGTTAATCGAATATTGAAAACTACGTTCTCTTTTGTTACACATTCGCATGAGTAAAATGTTCGATATATGCCATGCCGATTGGTTTACCACGACCTATGTTGTTGATAATGACAACGATTGTATCTTTTCAAACTCAGCTGATTGAAATATAGTCGTTTGTATTTTTTTTCTTTTGCCTCTTTCCCTTAATTATTACTGATAAAAAGCGAATTAACTTTGGCCCAAGTCAATTATAGTGATGTATCAGTACGCCAAATAGGACAGGAGAAGAGTGGAATGTTCTACTGTGTAGGATAAAGATAAGTAATGTGGGAACGATGACAAGAGGCTAGTTGAAACGAAGAGATGTAGAAGATGGGAGAAGGCGAGCGAGCGAGCGAGCGAAAGAGAGCAATTGCCTCTTAATATAATACAAACTACCCAAAATATTACGAATCCATTAGGGAGAATTGTTGTTTGATCGTATATAGGTAGAAAAGAAAGCAATCAAGGATAAAATATTGGATCTATTGTATATTGTATGTATACTTTTCACTGGTTTAGCTTATAATTGAGGCTAAATGGTATTTTACCGCGAGCTTTTTCTCTCCTGTTGACGTTTCACTTTTTCTCTCAATCTCATAAGAGGGACAGTTGAACACACCCTCAGGGTGTTCATATATTTACTTTTGTAGTGTTGGCTTTTTTTTTCGTTTGTCAGAGGATGAGAAGTGACATAATGAACGGATAGCCTTCTTCCGCCTCCTCCCCCACTTTCTCCCTCATCACCTTCTTTCGTTTCTATAATCAATACGTAATGACAACCGGTGACATTTCGGATCGATGGTCTGTTGGGAAACGCACGTACGAGAATAAGTAAAGATAGTTAAACAACCTTTGTATCCTTTTCTCATTATAATGGTTTTTAACAGCCGAGAACGAAAGAACGACTATCATCATCATCGTCTTTTTCTTCTATTCATTTTAAGTGATCCATTCAATTGATGTGCATGATGTATTAGGTCGAGAAATGATTCGGAAAATGTCTGTTCGTTGACGTTCGCGTTGTTTTTTCATTCCTAGCCATTTCTCGTATGAATTCAAATCTTTCTCGTTGATTCGACAAATCCACCTGACAACCTATGATTGTTTTCTTATTTGTACTTTTCATTTTCATTATCGACCTTGCAGCTTGCTCGCCCATCGTATATGTCAAATCTAAGTCGATAATTTTGACATACACCATCGATTTTTCTTTCTCGTTTTCAGTTTACATGTAAAAGCCGATGTTTTCTTTTCAAGTTTCAGATGTCTTTCTCTTTTTTTTCCTCGACTGTAACGATTCGTCACATGTCGTTACACACTAGCGTTCCTTTATTGTTGCACGTCGTTCTGTTTCACTTCGATCAAGTGAATGAATGTGCCTTTCGCTCTCTTTTGCTTAATGTATACATATCAGAAACCTTCCTTTAATTTATACCTTCAGATAGACTAAAAATTGAAGTGTGTCGGTGTTTACTTTATCTGATTTCCTTCGAGCATTTCAAAACAACAAATTCTTTCTTCTTATTGGATACAATTAAATAAGTAGTAGTGTGACAAATTCCTCCTCTCCTTTTTTTTTTCAAACGAGTTTAACAAAAGAAAAAGTAATCATAATCCAATTGAAAGTGAAACAGAGGGAAAGAACGAGAAAAGACAGTGAAAGCACTTAAGAAAAAAAAGACAAAATCAAGAAGAAAGATATGCCTGTGCTTACAGCAGTAGATAACGAAACTTGACAATAGACAGACATACGATGTAAGTTCTCTCTTTTTCTCTTTTGTTGTTCTATTAGGACATATACGTCTTTGACCATCAGTTTTGAAACACCTGTATTTATTTTATTCGACATCTCTTTCATCTCAGCAGGAAATAGAGAATTTGATTGACAGATTGACTAATTTTTAGCAACGAAAAAGGAGCCAACCTAGAAATAGTT